AAAAAAAAAAAAAAAAAAAAAAAAAATATATATATATATATATATATATAAACTTAGGCTTATTATATATAGTTGCTGAACAAACCCAGTGTACTAAAATAACTAAAACAACAAGAAAAAATGAAAATTAAATATACTTTAAAAAACAAAGACTAATATAAATTAGTATAATATAATTTAAAAAAAAACAACAAAAAAGGAAAACATAACAATGAAAACATTCAAAATAATAATAAACACTATAATCGCTTTGATATTAAAATAACACTGATATGTCACAAACTACATATTTGGCATATGTACCTTTTATTACTTTTAACTGTATTCTCGTATTTGAGATTCATTGGAGACATTTCATGATTTGTTGACAGCAGACTCAAGGAAAGGCAAAAATTGGTTGATGTTTCCCATTAACATATTTTATTAGTGATTATCAGGTTTCCCTTTCTACAACATATTTGTTGACACTCATTTAGAGAGCTTAACGAAAGATACAGAGTATTGCACATAAAAAAAGAGAGAAATGAAAGCGAAGGTAATGAAAAATTTAAAATAAATCCAAGTACACATTTTTTAAACAACACTGCACGCTAGAAATTATAGCGTGGCCTGGATATACAGTATGTGCCTTTCAGTACAATTGAGACAATTATCATTTAAATATATGTTTAAAATAGTACTTTATTTAATATAACTATGAACTATTACATACAAGTTCAAACTTAAGGTCACATGCATTAAACTGCTAGACTCAATGGAATGCTATATTTCAAAGTTTTGATGCTATTGAGATGGCAAACTCAACATTGCAACTAAGGGATGTTTTGCACAGCACATCATATTGCACATAAAAAAAGAGAAATGAAAGCGAAGGTAATGAAAAATTTAAAATAAATCCAAGTACACATTTTGTAAACAACACTGCACGCTAGAAATTATAGCGTGGCCTGGATATACAGTATGTGCCTTTCAGTACAATTGAGACAATTATCATTTAAATATATGTTTAAAATAGTACTTTATTTAATATAACTATGAACTATTACATACAAGTTCAAACTTAAGGTCACATGCATTAAACAGCTAGACTCAATGGAATGCTATATTTCAAAGTTTTGATGCTATTGAGATGGCAAACTCAACATTGCAACTAAGGGATGTTTTGCACAGCACATCATGACTATTTTCTTTTTCTTTTTACATTTAGTCTTAATCTTTAAAAAAAAAAAGAAAAAGAAAAGAAAAGAATCACACGGACACTTACAAATCTTGAATATAAAATGTGATCAGTGATCTAGTCACTTGATCTGGCAGTCTGCAGTCTGGTACTTGTATGTGTTTGTTAATTTCTGTGGCACTGCGGAGTCACATCTGGGTTTCACCATGTCAGCA